TGTGTTTATGAGAGTGTTTGTCTTCATGTATATGCAAGAGTGCACATCTAGGTATCGGTGTAGGAGATCTAATAGTAGCTGTGTAAGTGTGTAAATGCGGTAAATTGTGTATCTGTATTTCTATATGAGGATCTTTATGTGTTTGTTTAGGCATGTAGGGGTTTAAGTGTGTGTGTGTGTGTGTGTGTGTGGGAGAGGTTAATTATGTGGTTGTGTGTACGAGTATGTACGTATACAGGAGGAACTAGTTGTATTTGTGAGTTTAGGGCTTAGGCATGTATGTGTGTAATTGTGAGTATTTATCACAGCAGATACATATCTAATACTGAAGAATTTATGGACATCTTGGCTAGCTCCTAAAAGTTGCTTTTAATTTGTCAAGCCCTGTTTTAATCTATAGAATTGCTGACGATTTTGAGAGCACAATGTACAAATGATGTGATTATCTACCCTTAAAATCACAAAAATTAAATCCCTTAAAGAACTTACTTAGAGATCAAGATTAGATTTGCCTTTCTTAAAATGTGAATCATTATATATCTCTCGGACAGCTCAAGTGCATGCAATATTGCTTTGTGAATTGGTATGTTTCCATGGCAACACTGCAATTTTACATAGAAGCAGCTGAAGGTGGTAAAATGGTGATTCATACCAGCGGACATTACCATGGTGATCAAAACATATGAAAATGAAAGTAGGCAATTTTTGTATTTACTTTTAAGCTCCTTTCGATAAAAAAAATAAAAAAAAATAAAAAAAATGATATTGTCAAGAACCTGTACCAACACTGACCCTAAATTCACTAACCCTAAATAACAAATAACGGTCCATTTTAAAGATAAATGATGCAATATGAAAAAACTTGGCCAATCCAAGCACTTAAATTACCCAGTCCCTCTGTATCTGGCATGTCCCTTTAAATCACTATAACTGCTTTCCCCAATACAGCCTGCATTTACAATTAAAACAATAACGAGGATTAAGCTTTTCCATTAGAACACTGAATATTGTATTCTTAGTGCAGGCAGAGCAATGGGTATATATCCTTACCTCCCACACTGCAATGCTTGTGGTTACACCCCAACACTCAGCAACAGCCATGGATCAAACGTGTTGTAAATGTCATGTTTGGAATTGTCAGAAAAGTCTGCCTGTGCATGAGGTGTTTCTGCCAATAAAACAGGGAAGAGAAATAAATCATTTACTTAATAGATCCAACAGATGATTACAGAAAACAAGCATTATAAAAAAATTAAAACACATATTTCAGAGTCAATATTCGGATGTAGATAGTAGATCTAAAGGATAACAGGTTAAAAAAGGTCTGAAGAAAAATGTACCAGTCAAAATGATGTTTAAGCACATTTTTTGTCAACATGGACTTCTGAGAAAGGAATCCACTAATATTAGCTAACAGTGTGCTTTCATTAACGACTACCTTTACAGGTTGATAGGCAGCATGAATGCTACATAATACAATGTTATGTGTGTCCATAAAATGATGGTAGATTTGGCAACTTTAACGAGTGAGAATGGTGTGTTTTGCTATCTTTCCCCCCTTGGCGTGCTCCCATTAATTTGCTGGTCTTAATACTCTCTCTACGTCCTGGTTATCTCCTTTCTCAGTAATAAATGAAATAGAGGGGGATTAGACCCACAATATATTTGCAATACTGGTTTTGGATGGTATGTTCATCCTAATCTGGGGACCAATGATATTTCATGTTGTCATCACACATTTGGGCCCTAAATAATATAGTCAAGTGTAGAATTTCCAGATTAGCTTGGGTTTGCAAATCTATACGGTCCGGTCACATTAATAAGTAGGGCATTAAATTTTTATAAACTCTGGAATTAAACTCTGTATGTGCAAATACAGACTCCCCTATATTAAACAGTCAAACCATTTTATGACAGTCTGCATCTTACCTGGGGTTTGCCAGGCCCACTGCTTGCCTCCATTACTTCTAACAGACAACCTGAACTAATCGCAATGGTGCAGGGATATACTTATTGGCTGAGAGCAATCAGCTGGCAGTGCACTGCAGGGCTTCGCGGATGACAGCTAATGAAAGCTCCTAAGGAAGAGCGTTTGGCTCTCTATCAGAGGTAGTAGAGAACGGCACCTAACAGACCCCAGGTAAGAAGTCAAACCATTCTAAAATGGAATAACACAAACAAAAGGAACCTACGTACATTTGAGGACCCATTTGTATTTTAAAGCTCAATATTAGTGTATGTGTTGTATCTGCAGTGATTGGGAAAAATTATAATTAAAAAAAAAAAAAAAAACACACCTCCTTTAGAACTGCTGGATTAAGTACACTATAGTCTATACCTTCAGATGTCAGCATTATGCCTGTAAGAGCATTCTGGTATATGTAGTGCACAACATCTGGAGTTCTGAAGGTTGCCTACCTCTGGACTTTATACTGTCTTTGTCATCATTTAGCACAGCGAGAAAAAGCAAGTATCCATACATTATAATTACTGTTTACGTAGTGTGCAACACATTCTGTACAATGGTCGGAGAGGGCCCAGCTCAAATTGTGTAAAACACAAAGGCAGTGCTGGCAAATTCCACTTTTAAAATAACAAAAAGCACTTTGTATATCACAACTCCCCTCCCATGCTGACAAGCTAAAAGTGTGACGACGTCTTAGGCTTTTTCTAGTCTCTCTTTTTTGGTTTGCATACAATCAGATATTTTCTGTACTATTACACTGATCCTGTGACATGGAGTTTGCTTGCTTTTCTCTAAGATACACTCATGACTTGACTGACACACACACAGACTGTATCTATTAAAACCTTTGACCTAAAGCACTGTGATTAATTTACTCTATATATGCCAACTCTGCGCAATATGACAAGAGACCTAGTATAATGATTTATATCCTGATAAAGAACAGGAAAACGTGCAAGGTATGCTGTACAATACACAGAGACTTTGTTATTAGGATTTCAACTAGAACAGCAGATTGCGAAAACACCCAGCGACATCATACTTAAACTGGAACTGGTCCATACTACAGGACACGGCTTGTGCTTATCAAAGTTCTCTACAAATAACCCATCGGGCCTCAAAAGATACGCAGCACAGCGCTGGCACAGCAATAAAAATATAACGGAATCTTCATACTTCTACACACAGAACCCAGAGCCTTTCTTAACACCACTGCTTTATATGTCACTTCCTATAGACTGTAAGCTCGTTTGAGCAGGGTCCTCTTCAACCTATTGTTCCTGTAAGTTTTCTTGGAATTGTCCTATTTATAGTTACATCCAAAGCGCTACAGAATCTGTTGGCGCTATATAAATGGCAATAATAATAATAATAATAACAGCAGCACATACACAATGAACTTATGCTGAAAAAATATTCATAGTCAATCTATTTCACTTTCGATTTCGTGTAAATAAAGCAACAGTCTGCTTAAATAAATAATTACTAAAGACTTCTTGAAACATGAGAACAATAAGTATCGTTCATCATGTCTCCAGAATATTGTATTTTTATTGATCAATGTGCCGAAGAATACGGATTACTTAGAAATAATCGCTTCTCTAAAATAGTATTAACTGACCACAGAAATGTCAAATTCTTTATGTTTTCGGACCGCTTTGTTGATGTAAAAAAAAAAAAAAAAAAAAAACCCGGAAAATTGCTATCTTTCACCCTGTTTTGTGCAGACCCAAAATCTAGATTCTTACATTTTATAAATGTATGGGGATTCTTTCCTTATCTGTAATTCCATGCATTTGGTCTATGTGATAAAATGCAATTGTGGATCACAGTACGTGGGCAAAAAAAAAAAAAAAAAAAAACATTTAGAGCGAGGATGCAGCAACATATTTATTTAATAAAAAAGCTGGATGCCCTAAGCCGACAGATTTTTAAATGTTGTTTTCTTGTTCCAGTTTGCATGACTTTCATATATGGTTTAAAGATTTTTTGTTTTCTATAATTTGGCAATGTGTCGCACAATGGAATACTTTTAAATCTTTCAATAAAATAAATTTTACAAAAATATATTTACAAGAAATTTGAAAAAGCTGAATAGTGACAATCCAATTGTCTGATATGTCACACAATATCAAAATGGAGACCCTACAACTACACAATAAAAATTTAATAAATAATCCAGACTTGGGGTATGCACAACCTTTGTTACTATAATTGACACACACTGCACCCCCAGAAACACACAGCACCCCAGACACACACACACAGCACCCCCAGACACACACACACACAGCACCCCCAGACACACACACACAGCACCCCCAGACACACACACACAGCACCCCCAGATACACACACAGCACCCCCAGATACACACACACAGCACCCCAGACACACACACACAGCACCCCAGACACACACACACACAGCACCCCCAGACACACACACACAGCACCCCCAGACACACACACACAGCACCCCAGACACACACACAGCACCCCAGACACACACACAGCACCCCAGACACACACACAGCACCCCAGACACACACACAGCACCCCAGATACACACACAGCACCCCCAGATACACACAGAGCACCCCATACACACACAGCGCACCCAAACACACACAGCGCACCCAAACACATACAGCACCCCCAGACACATACAGCACCCCCAGACACACACACAGCACCCCCAGACACACACACAGCACCCCCAGACACACACAGCACCTTAGATACACACAGCACCTCCAGACACACACACAGCACCCCAGATACACACACAGCACCCCAGATACACACACAGCACCCCAGATACACACACAGCACCCCCAGAGACACACACAGCACCCCCAGAGACACACACAGCACCCCCAGAGACACACATAGCACACACACATATATATATATATATATATATATATATATACACACACACACACACACACACTGCACCACTACACACATTACGCTCCAGATACACGCTAGATCCCTTACCCTATATGCACTCTTAATCCTCTGCACACACACACACAATCTTCTATACACACTCTGGGTCCTTTACACACTAGATCTCTTACACACACACAGTGCACCACCTACACACACACTACATTCCTTGTAAGGAAACACATACAACATTCTCTAAACACACCCTCTCTACAACCCCTACACACACTACATCACCTATACACACACACTACTGCCCGTATGCACACACTCGCTACATCCCCTATAACACTATGCCCCTATACACGCATTCTCTACAGCCCATAGCCACACATATTACACCACACATATTACACCTATTTACACAATACCACACCACACTCTACACACAGGCAATCCCACAAGCAGGCGCCAAACACATGCACCATACACTTTCCTGGCCCTTTTGTCCTCTGGTATCCCACTTGTGGAGACACCAGAGACAATTTAAAAGCAAACACAGTGCAAGCATGTTATTACATTTGCTTGCGCTGCGCAGAACAAATACAGGGCCTTTTTCTAAAGCCAGAGCTCTTCAGCGGGGCTCTGCACATTGAACCAACATGCTCACTTTGAGAGGGGGCGTGCTTGTCATTAGTGATGACAAAACACACCCTCTCTGGCCCCGCCCCCTTCTTGGGGGGCCGCTCTAATTGAAAAATGCCCGGGCCTAATTTTTTTCCCAGTCCGGCCCTGCTCCCAACATATCATCAATATGTTTAGGACAGGCGGATTGACAAAGAACATTCTACAGGCTTGTAGGGCAAGCTTTTAGGTTAGCGAGATTGTGTGTTATTCATCCTGAGCAGACAGAGACAGAGATGGACAGAGAGCAGATGATTATTTGTGCTTGCATTTTGGAGCTTCATCTATATATACATAGTGTCCCTCGTTTAGCTTCGGAGCTGAGAATGTAGGAATGTACTTTGTATAAGGTTACCTGAATTAAATTGAAGCTATAGGCATGGTAAAAGCATTTAGTTACGTTTTTTGTTTGCTAAATAGGTAACCTGAGAGTGCATACATTGTATACTATTCCACCTGCTGTAGAGTTACAGGTTACATATATTTCTGGCTAGTGTTCAGCCCCGCATTGGTCCAGCAGAATACATTTAGTAAAATTCAACGAAGTCTATTCATAGATCTGCTAAAGCTGTGGTGAATTATATATTGCAATTACATTGCAACATCGCTGTCAACAAACCACAATCTTGTGAGCAGGTTTCATCTCTGGGGAATCAATTAACAACAAATGTAGCCATCAGGAACCTTGTTTAAATGTATCTGTTTATACTCTGCTTTTTTATAGAACTTGATCATTTTAATCTTTTTTTTTTTTTATTCTCACTATTTGAGCACATTGTTTTTAACGAAGATGGTGTTAAAGCTGCTCTGTCACTTCATAGTATTTTACAAAGATATAATCTGACTAACCAAGGATTTCATAAGAGACTAGCTTGTTTTACGGACCAGTGTTCATTTTGTCAAATAACAATATTATCACCTTTTAGGCGACTAAAACAATTCAGATGACTAAAATCTGACTAAAACTAACAGCTTTTTAGTCAAAAGTCTATGACTAAAACTAAATTGAAATTTGTCGCCAAAATTAACACTATTATGGACAAGCCGGAGGTTGGTAAAAGGCTTCCACTATTATTAAAGCACCAACAAGTTCCGTAGCACTGTACAATGGGTGGACTAACAGACACGTATTTGTAACCAGACGAGTTGAACACACAGGAACAGAGGGATTGAGGGTCCTGCTCAATGAGCGTACATGCTAGAGGGAGTGGGGTAAAGTGACAAAGAAGGTAAGGGTAGGGTAGAAAAGTAGGTTGCTAGGATAGTGTTCATTGAGGGCTCAGTGTTTTGTTTTGATGACAGTTTCAGGAGAGAAATCAGGGTGCGGGGAGTGAAAGCTGTTCACAGTTTAATTGATATGCTTTCCTAAAGAACTAAGTTTTCAAAGATTTTTTTGAAGGAGTGGAGACTGGGTGAGAGGCTAACAGAGAAGGGAAGGGCATTCCATAGGAACGATGCAGCCCCAGAGAAGTCTTTAAGGAGAGCATCAGAGGTAGGAGTACGAACAGAGGTTAGATGTAAGTCTCCAGCAGAGCGTAGGGGCCTAGGTGGGACATATTTGTGTAATAGTGAGGATAAGTAGGTCGGAGCAGCATTGTCTAGAGATTTGTAAGCAAGTACCAGGATCTTAAATAGAGCCCTATATCTTATGGGAAACCAATGTAGGGGCTGAAAAGGGGGGAGGCGTGGGCGGACAGGAATATGAGCCTCGCCTCCCTGTCAGTCACGCTTATAAGTTCTGTTCTTTGTATCTTGCAGTCAGCATTAAAAAAAAAAAAAAACATATAGAAGTGAAGATATAAAACAATGTTTCCATTTCTCCTCCACATTTGTTTTCCTTTGTCTGAACTGGACTGTGATGTAATTTGCTATATTTTCAATATAAACTTATCTGAAAAGGAGGTGGGCAAGCAGAAGGAGAAGGCACCAACACGGTCTCCTAATAATAACTCCCTCCTGCCCCACACATAGCACGTATCATCTGCCCTAGAATTAAACAAACACATTTGGGGACAGTGGTTTATTATGTAATTATCCTTACAGAATTCCTTCTCATGGTTAAGAAACCGGGAAGGCATTGATATTGGTATAAAAAGCCCATAATAAGCAGTCAGGCCCTGATCAAGAATGCAGAGTCAGCAATACTAATATGGGTTTAGGAAGGCCAAAGGTATTTCAACATTTGGAGCAAAACCATAAATACTTTGAAAACAAAACAATTCTCTGAACTAACCAAGATATATTTTTGATTCTCTGCAGAGCGACTACTGGTTTTTAGTGAAGTGTTAAGGAGATAGGAAGTGGAAACATGTTGCAGAAGTAGTCATGTCAGCAAACTGGTGTCAGACCACGTGTGGTATGTATTGGCCTTGATATTTTCCCAAAACAATGATGTCATTGTACATCAAATACAAAAATGAAATAACCGACGAAGTGATAGTAAAAATCAAAGACACATACCTAATGGACAAGCTAACAGCCCAAATTAGAAACACAGAAAGTTCATTCCATAAAATCTGGCAACCCTGGGAGGACTATGCTAACGAATAAACTCCCTCGAAAACAGAGACGGGAACACTTGACGGGACCGGGGTCCGCCGTGCGCCCCAACTGGAGCGGGGCTCACCCTCTTCCTTCCCCCTTCCCCGTCCCCCCCCGCCCCGCACAGACCGTTTACTAAAACAACATGGAGACTGTGCTCAGGACAATCACACCATAATATACACGCCACGAAAATACCCCAACACGTAGTGATGAGATGGGGGGGGGGGGGCACCAAAAACACGACGACAATGGCATAAAAGCCAATACAGCAGGACCACGACCGCCTAACCAAGGACCCAACTCCACGGGGGCCAGTGATTTACACAAACATACACGCACCCAGGGTCATGTACTACACGGGAGTAACCCAAAAGCGACCGATGGCACCGATAATCCAACCTGCCCAGAACACTTACATACCGCTCCTTGTAGACAAATAGAACGCCACAGGGACGAAGGGTCCGCTCGGTTTTATTTTACCTTACTTGATTTTACTTGACATTGTGTTATGTTTTACGTGTTTAACTGGATAAGTTACGTCCATAAACGATGAAAACTCTATGAAGAGCGGAAGACCGCTACCGATAACCAAACTGTGACACCACTTGTCTATTGTAACATGCAAAGTGTACAGTTATTGTTTACTGGCCTCTGTTCGAAACAAAGTATAATGTGATGCTGCTCTAAGTGTCGAGACAAAAAAAATAAAATAAAATGAAAACCACCACACCAAAAATCCTAAGGATGCTTAATTCAGTCACCAAAGGGACCCAGCAATGTTTTGTCCCCACCAGGGGAATGACTGTATACAAAGTTGAACAAGAGACAGCTCGACAAGTCTGAGGTCAGTATAGGAGGACAAGGTCAAAGTTAGGATGTAAACCAGAGTTCTAGAAAGGCAGGTATGGTAAACAGGCTCAGTAAACCGGAACAAGGTTCCTCAGGTTCAGCAATGGTAAACAGGTTACGGGTCAGGACAGACACGCACAACGTTCTCTTCTTGTGCCAGGACTGAACTGGATATCAATTGCTAAATCTTGAAAACGCAACAGTTCCTGAGCCGACAGAAAATAAACGCAGAATCTGCAAAATTGACAACCAATACGGGCCCTTGAACGCTGCTACCGAGCGGAGGACACCAAGACCATCACACCGACACCTCAAACGCAGATACCCCGCTCGGTGCCCAAATGCGGCCTACTCACACAAGCGGCGCGGGAGAGATGAGCGCTCTCTCACCGTTTCCATACCCGGCGAACTCACTGCTGAGCCCACGTGTCACCCCCACCCCCCATGGACCGGCGGGGGTTATCCTGGTCCACGGGACCCTGCAAGCCTCCACAACCACCTGCATCCCACACCCAGCTACCAAGATGGCGTCAGCCAACCAGGCTTCTGGGCCTACACATACTCAACCTCTGCCAGCGAGACAGGCAAGCGAAGATTAGCAGCAGCATACAACCATATCTGGGCACGGTTGTGGGCCACGCTGGCTCGGACCCAGGCGACTACAATGGTCTCTCGATTACCTACCACCCCACCTGCACGCAAACCGGCTCCAATTGGCACAACTACGCCGCCGACCGGTGCGAAACAGCAGAGGAGGATGAGGGCTATGCCCAGACCCGAGGGCCGCAGACCACGCATCCAACACCTATTACCTGGGTCCCAACATACTCGGAGACCCCCCACTCACGGCCCACTGCTCACCAAGCCAAAGCGACACATTAGGAAAGCATATGCTCAGCCCATGACCAGCGGAGCTGAGAGGGCCACTCAATGCATCGGCCGCCCACAGAGATGCACAGCCACTACCGGTGCCCAGAAGGGCATCACCCCTGCATCAGGAGTACAAAAAGTGACACCAGCCTACAGACCTGCATGGGGAGCAAAGGGGCCGACTTGCCGCCAAGTCCAGACTTCCCCCACCCGAGGTACTCACGGAGGAATGGGGGGCGGTGACAGAGCTCCACCAGCTCACTTGAACCACGACACCAAAGCTCCATGGGACCCCTCAGACTGTACATCGCTCCCGCCAACCATGGGTGTAGGCTGACTTTTGCGGCGGGTGGGCCTGCTGCCACGCCACCACATCTATGCAGCTACTGTGGACACTGCCTTGTGTTATTGTTTTGCTTTGGCCCCCTGAGCTGAGTTAAATTAATTGTAGGGAGCTAGCTGACATGTATGCAAGGGCCATCAAAGGCTCCCTTACAATGGGATGTAACAGTCTGCTCATACTGTTACCAACATGTGATGTTTAGACGTGTTATCATAAAGCTATCATAACCCTTTTCATGTCTAGCTAGCTATGCAAGCCACAAACCAGAACGTATACCTCGTTAGTTAAATCTCTTTTGACAGCTTCTGTTCCGATAGATAGGTATCAGACGCGAATGAATAGCTAGTAACTAACTATTGAACCAAGCCTGCATAAAATATAAAATTGCGCCTATTATTATGCCCCGCATGTTAAGCGAGGGACTGCCTGAGGACTGCTCTCGGGGCACCTCAGACCTGCTTGTATCACTCTTATGCACTGAAAAAATAAAGAATAAAAAAAAAAAAAAAATAGAAAAAAGAAAACTATGCATGACACGAAAAAAAGGTAAATGCAAGTTATTGATGACTTTCAATGTTTTATTTAATGGTACAATTTCCAGAGAAGAGATGGTTTCCCTTTAAATATGTTTTTTTTAATTTAATTTTTAATTATGACCCGAATCAGATAACAGTCATTAATGAGTTGTGGACAATAAAGTAGTTTGAAAGGGACAATTCAGGCACCAATCCAATTAAGCTGTTATTGCTCCTGGAGTGGGACTTTAAATATCTGGTACAAAATGGGAGTTTGGGCTAGATATAATTTTGACTGGATATGTGAATATATATATCCCGGCATTTTGTATATAAGCAATACAAAATGCCGGGATGAACAATCATGTACTAAAAAACAATTCGGCAATAAAAAGAAAGGTTGCATATAAAATTTACGCAAGGATTTTGTTAGCACCAGTATCTAGCTCATGGGTCGTCAACCTGGTCCCTACCGCCCACTAGTGGGCATTTCAGGATTCCAGGTGGGCGGTAGGGATTTCATCAATTTCATTGATTGGGTGGACGGGAGGTACCCCTGCGACGGGTACCGCCATCACCATTTGCCGCGCGGGCCGGGGCCGCCGTCCAAGGGATCCATCGGGTGGCCCATGCTGTCAGGGCCCCCTGATGGATGTGGATTGTAAGGGGGCACGGTCAGCGCTGGGCGCTTTTACAGCGCGACTGGGCCCCCTGTTATTGCATCACACGCTGGGAGGAAGTGACTACACGTCACTCCTCCCAGCTAACACACAGACCGTGCGGGAGGAAGACCAGGGAGTCAGAGTAGGAACTCTGACTCCCATGCACCTGAGCCACTACTGGACCCCAGGGAAAGTCACCCTCTTGCACCTAAAAGGTAGGGAACAGGAGGGTGACTAAAATATTTTGTGTGTGTTTGTTTGTGTGTATGTGTCTTTGTATGTGTGTCTGTCTGTAGGTGTGTGTATGTGTCTATGTATGTATGTATGTATGTCTTGTGTGTCTGTCTGTATATATGTGTGTATGTATGTCTTGTCTTTGTATGTATGTGTTGTGTGTATGTCTTTGTATGTGTCTTGTGTCTGTCTTTATGTGTCTATGTATGTCTATTGTGTGTGTCTTTGTATGGGCGTGTCGTGTGTGTGTGTCTGTATGTATGTCTGTCTGTATGTGTGTGTCGTGTGTGTGTCTATATGTATGTGTGCCTGTATGTGTGTCTGTATGTATGTGTGCCTGTATGTGTGTCTGTATGTATGTGTGCCTGTTTGTTTGTATGTGTCTTTGTATGTATGTCTGTGTGTATGTGTGTCTTGTGTGTGAGTCTGTATGTATGTATGTATGTATGTATGTATGTATGCCTGTCTGTTATAGTGTGCTATAGTAAGTGGGCTACCTAGCTCAGCCTTCCTACTGGGCATTGCTATAAGGAAGGTTAAAAAATAGAAAAAAAGTGGGGAAAAAGTGGGGAGGGGAATTGAGGAAGGAGAGGAGAGGAGCTGAACCACAGATGAGAAATCATATTATGCGCAAACAGAGAAGTTGTCTGAATATCACCGAAAGAGGAGACCTTTGTTTGTTCCTTACGAAAATTGAACCAGATATCAAATATTTAGTCCCGCAGCATCAGCCTCAAGGATCTCATTAATCACTAGTAAAGGTAATTTCAATTTACTTTATTGTCTTCTCATTAAACTTTATAAAGTTAAAAACATTATAAACATACATTAAGTAGAAATAAAAAGATAAATGTATGTATATTTTTTTTCAAACACCCTTCTTTCTAAAAAATTATCCGCACTTGCGCGAAAACTGGTGGGCGGAAAGGAAATGTTTCCATCAAGAAAGATGCATTAGTGGGCAGTAGGTAGAAAAAGGTTGACTACCACTGATCTAGCTCATGCCAAACTTCATGCTATCTACAGATTTCTACAGATAAACCATAATGAACTGACTCCTAGAAAAAATCTGTGTCAAAGCCATGCAACGTGTAACAAATTCGGATTTTAGTGTGTGTCCTACAGCTGCAGGCATACGAGCTGTTAATAGGTTTACATTCAATCCCTACAGATAGCAAGTCTCCCTTTCTGAGTATCATGAACCAAGTGACCTTGAAACACTGGGCAGGAGCCAAATATGAGGGATTTCATCATCTGGAAAAGTCATTAATAACTTATTGCTACATACAGCAGAACCAGCAGGGTAGGTCAGTTGGGAGAGAAGCGAGAAGAACATAAGAACCGATACGAAATATAGTGATAAGCAAGTGCTAATCAACAACAAACCCACAGCCGGTTTATCATTTTCGAAAAAGTGAATCCAATAATGATCAGCTTCACTGAAAAAGACTGAATAAACCAGTTGAAGAAAACCACAAATTTAAAGGAACACTTGGCACCATAACCAATCTCTAACCACCTAAACTTCAGTGGTTATAGTACAAAGAATGATTACCCACCATGCCTTCAGCATATTATCGCCATCCAAAGATTAATGGCTAAGGTTTATGTGCTAGCTTTAGGCGCTGGGAAACCCACAATTATGGTCATTCCACTCAAAACCCTTTTAACACAGAGGAGACGGCAACAAAAGTTTGTTACAGCCAATAGTAACGGTTCTGCAACAAAATGTTGTTGCTGTCTCCTCTGTGTTAAAAGGGTTTTGAGTGGAATGACAATAATCGTGAGTTTCCCAGCGCCTAAAGCTAGCACATAAACCTTAGCCATTTATCTTTGGATGGCGAGAATACGCTTAAGGTATGGTGGGTAATCATTCTTTGTACTATAACCACTGAAGTTTAGGTGGTTAGAGAGTCCTCCCATTTTTGGGCAGAATTAGTTGACTGAGCGTGTCAAATAAGTCTCCACAACCAATGAGTTCACCCAATATTGAAGAAAATTGATATTGCTACAGTGATAACTGTTGGAACTCATCACAGTGGGTCAGTGTCAGGGAACTCCTGGTGCCAGAGTACACTGGGGACCTTTTGGGGGTGCAGACAAGAATGTATCCTGCTGGAGCTTAATGGATCCCAAACACCCATTAGTGCACCAGGGATCTAGGACCCAAAATAGACCACGATGGATTGTACCCTACTCCTTGAAGAAAGAGAGATTAGGGGGTGGCAACACTGAGCACCACCACACACACACACACATCACATACAACAAGCACACATTGCACACAGCCAAGACACACATATTATTGGGGGGGGGAACAGAGGGAGACACTCAGGGGTTATTTACAAAAAAAAAAAAAATTCTGAAATGAAACCCAATTTGTAAAACTAAAGGAAAAATAGACTATTTTAAAAAAAAATTCTCCAGCTCCACTATATTGAAACATTTTTGCCTCCGTTTTACCATTAAGATTTAAATTCACAAAAATTTGGTGTTTAGTAAATAACCCAGCAAGATTCCAGTGTTCTTTTCTTTCAAGTGAAATTACTTTGTGTGGCAGGACAAATAGATTGGGCAACTGGTTTAGTCACATCAATATATATAAAAATATTTAACATACCAATAGAGTTGGGGTGGGGAAAAAAGTGTGGATGAAAACCCCTTCCACCTGAAGTAAGTGGATAGTTAATACATTGCTTAACATAAATACACACACCAGTCAAGCCATAAGACTTGCTTTTCCCACAGAAATCTCACTTTAACAGTGCTCTCACTACTGCAAAGGATTCTAGGGTAGGCATATGCAAATGAGCAAGCCAGTAACCAACCTGATGCTGATGAGCTGCATTAAAAGGAACACTACAGGGTCAGGAATAAAAACATGTATTCCTGACCATATAGTGTTAAAACCACCATTAGATGGCTTGCCCCCCTTGGATGGCTTGGATTGGCTAAATTCGACAAGGGGGTGAGGAAGAACGCCATTTTGGCAAATCAGCACTTCCACATAGAGATGTATTGAATCAATGCATCTCTATGAGGGAAATTCAGTGTCCCCAAGTAGAGCGTGGACACGCTGAACGGCACTGCTGCCTACTGTGCAGCCCTGAGCCAGGAAGCACCTCCAGGTGCCATCTGAGGAGTGGGGGTGTCCCTGGGAGCAGTTTACTCTGAAAAGGCAGTGTTTGCATGAAAATGCCTGCATATAATGATTATACTCACCAGAACAACTACATTAAGCTGTAGTTGTTCTGGTGACTATAGGGTCCCTTTAACAACGAAACAGCTGTCCATGTTGTACACAGCAGACACATACTCCAAGGAATCCATGTATAAAGTGGAATTATGAGGCAAAAATTTGGTTATTTGTTGAGCTCATTTGCATACGCCTACCCAGAATCCCTTGCAGTAGTGAGATTTCTGTGGCAAAAACAAGTCTTATGGCTTGACTGGTGTGTGTATTTGTGTTTAGCAATGTAATATATATATATATATATATATATATATATATATATATATATATATATATATATATATATATATATATATATATATATATATATATATATACACACACACCCATACATACAAAAAATGTAATCCCCTTTAATTCTTTTTTACACACCCTACTGTTCATTAGTTTATTTCTCCTGCATTAATGGATCAATAGCTGAAATACATGAGAAAATGAAAGCAAGCAGAACATCAGCATTTCCTAAAGAAACATGACATTGCTGTATGGAAAAGTATGTTTTTTTTCTGAAAGTGTTTCGGCGTTGTAACTCACTGATGATGATTTAGGCTCCTGTCTAACTGCAGTGCCACACCCATAACGAAAAAAAAAAAACTCAGTCACAACAAAAAACACAATGGAGGTCAATCAGGGTTATTTACCACCAATGTTAAAGGTCAAAATAGCCAAAGCGAAATCCTAGCTGACAAAGATTTTTTCCAGTTTGGCAATTTTGAACTTAAAAATTGATTTCTCGCTTTAGTGAATAACCCTGTATATATAAAACCTCTCCCGTCAAAAGACTCTGCAAATTACAATGCGATTTTTCCACAACCCAACAACAATAACAAGGCCTTCCTAAGCACGGAAGCCCTGAGGAGGTAAATATGGTTTTAAGTTACCTCGGCAACGCAAGTCACCCCAACAATCTCTCCAATCAGGTTTACTGCGGTGGGCTGACATGGAAATCATGCCCACATTTCAGTTTTCATAATTAAATGGCAGCTGTAGATGCATCAAAATGAAATAAAATGAATGATCTAATAAGTCTTTAGAATTTTTGCTGAAATTTTTTTTTTTTTTAATGTATCATTATCATAATTTATCATTATCATAGTACAAGTCCCCTCACCTCCCCATCCTGTGTCTGGGTTTTTAAAATAAATAAAGAAATAAATAAATGTGTTGAAAGTCAAAAAATAAAATACAATTTGCACATTTTCCTCCTTTTTTGCTCATCTACAAGACTCATATAGACTTATTAATTCATGCCATTAACGAGAGTTACTCTAAGCACCAGAATCACTTCATCTTACTGAAATGGTTATGGAGCAAAGACCCTGTATAATTTCCTTAAAATGTTTCATTACAGAAATGAAACTCTTCTCTCTCCTTTGTGTTTGGCTGTCAATCAGCCAGCTGGAATACTCTTTTCCTGGCTGGCAATACCTGTTTTGTGCAACATTTGTGTCTGGCAGTAGGAAGCACAGACTGCAAACTCCAGAAAGCTCTAACAGACCATAAACAGCTGGGTGAGCTCTTGCTAAAACAATTTAACTCTCCAACTCCCTGATCAAGAAAAATCATTTTTTTATTTTTACCTCTGCACTTCTATATGAACAAAAGAATCCGCTGAGCGCTCTCAACCAATGAATGCCGACCGCTGCGGTTTCTGGATAATGACTGATATTCTGTGCAACAAAGGTTTCACAGAATTGACATTAGCCAGCCCAGTCACACTAGTTCCAGGCTTGCGGATGACCCCTGTATGATGCTATTAGAGTTTGAAGTACACCTCCAGCACATAATGGGTTAATCTCTGTATGTGCAGCGTTTTAAACACTAGACATACAGACCCGAGGAATCGTGACCACTTCAAAACACTGAAGTGGTAAAAGTGCTCAGAGTAACTATTTGTTTGATAATTATTGGATTAGTGTGTTACACGTATTTGGGTGGGTTGTTCCTGAATTTTGACTTACCGGAGTTATTTATCCAACAGCAAGTAAGTCAACACACTTGGGTTACTAAATCTCACATCACTGCTTACAATGTAAAGAAATAAATGGAGCATAGCACTGAGCCAGTCCTGGTTAATAGAAGGTCCAGAAGACTCCATCTTCATTTGTTGAGTCATTCACTTTTAAGCCTTCCGTGACTGCCAAATGATAAAAAAAAAAAAAGTTGCAGGCAGAATGTGAGGAGACAAAATCTGTGATTGTCTAAGTAGCACACAGCATCCTACTGCACAGCAACAGGACAAGGTTCATTCAAATCTCTGATTATACAGAGTGCCCTACATAACCAAGGAAAGGCTAAATTCAGTTTAAACGCAGTCCTTCAATTTTCATACATAAATGAAACACTGGTTGACAGATTTAGCATTTTTTTTATGCTACATGATGGTGTCGATATCTGATGATCACTTGAGGTATATTAAGGGATTAGGGAAACAACACTCTGATCAGTCTTGACATATTAGTTTTAGAAAAGTATGACTCAGTGAGGAACATGCAGCAGAAGAGTTTAGAAAAATGGTGTATCTTGTGTGGACAGTGTGAGCATTAGAGGCGGTAGCTAAAATGAAAAATTTTTAGGATTTGCACTAAGAAATAAAAAACAAACAAACAAACAAACAAGGGATGGCAAAGCATTAGAGGATGCATTGTCAAAAGAAACAGGAATGGACGGACGGACAGAGACATGTTCTTGTGCATTTAGATAGTACAGGAAAGAAGGGATGGTTAAAGGGATACTGTAGGCACCCAGACCACTTCAGCTAATTGAAGTAGTCTGGGTGCACTGTCCCTTTTGCACTTAGTGCTGCAATGTAAAAAAAATGTCTACCAGACAGCCACTAGGAAACTCTCATGAGGACCTCTAGCGTCAGATTTGTTTTCCCTTTGGAAAGCATTAATTCAGGGAGAGGGGGGTGGAAGACAGGGGGAGCGGTAGTGCCAGGAATACACCTTTGTATTCCTGGCACTACAGTGTCCCTTTAACCACATGAAATGCAGCAGACAGTATGAGATTGACAAGTTAAAAGTGAGATACATAGTAGTCATTACTTCAAGAACTGTGTAAAAAGTAAGAAAGCAGAGCAAATCCAGATTGCAGTGGGTTGAAAGTGCTAAGCAGGAGGGAGTAAAGAAGGAGTTTGAGAAGGTTGGATACTAGGATAAGGAGGGGCAACTAAGAAGGATGCATGATCTAATTTACTAATTTAATGAATTCAGATTTCAAAAAGAGAGAGCATTCAATTCAATAAAAGGTTCAGTGGGTATTGAGCCATGGCTCAAATAAACAAGAAAAGTGAGAAGCGCAGGTCTCCATCCAACATGAAAAAAATAAAATAAAAGGCTAAGCAAAGACTAGTCAAGGGGAGACCAGCTCGGTGGTCTGGTCACCTTAACACACACATATTATATATATACATACACACACACCAAGACAGACACACACACCCCATGATAGACAGACATACACACACACACACAACAGACATACACACACATTATTGCTTGTTTTAATACCTGTAAGTCCAGTGGGCGACCAGCTAGGGGATTATGGAGGAGGGCGGCATGCTGGGTGGTCAAAGAGGCGGGCGGCATGCTGGATGGTTGTGGAGGCATGCTGGGGGGGGTCGTAGCATTGGATTGGCTTAGACAGTCATGGAGGGAGATCAGGGACAGAGTCAGCACAAGCCAAACACAGCCCTGGACAATCAGCATCTCTATGAGGAAAGTTCAGTGTTTTTCCATGCAAAGGATGGAGACACTGAATGGCAACGCTTCACACTGTACAGCACTGCCCCAGGAATCCCCTGGGCCATCTGAAGAGTGGTCAGTGGAGGTATCCCTATGCTGTAAATGTAAACATTGCCCTTTTGTCTGAAAACACAGTGTTTACTGCCAAAAGCCTGAAGGGAATGATTATACCCACAAGAGCAAATACAATATGCTGTAGTTGTTCTGGTGACTATAGTGTGCTTTTTAAAAGTTAACAGTTAACCCAGGGCTTGACAAAACCCAGGCACCAGGTCGATGATGATCTCCAGGAGAGCAAGCTGTCGAGAAGAAGACGCAGCATCACATGACGTAAAGAGCGTCATGCATGCGCAATCTCATCATTGAGGGAGAGGGATCTTGTCTGCAAGGAGTGGAAGACTACGGTCAAGCCATCTGAGCACAGACTGTCAGATAATTACCGATGATAAACGCTAAAAAAGTATAAAAGTATTTTATTTTAAATTTGTGTCTGTGGTTTTAATTAGTTGTGTGGTTAGCTTGAAATAAAGTGATGCATCCATAATATTCCAAACTGTTTACCCAAAGATCATGGATCACTTTAATTTCAAACTCTCACAATGTACAATAATACAATCATATTGGCCATGAGTATGATATGGAGTACTGTGTGATTTCTGTACCTTGCTAGGCTTAAGATATCCCACATTAAACTATTCCCACAGCAGCTAGTCGAGTGCAGAAAAGCCACTTTATGTTCTATTTCTGCAAGTAGAACACATGTGCAAAAATATATTTATTACTACTTTTGAATAAAGTGATGCATGCATACAAGAACACACCAAACATACTATATTGTCCAAATATCATTAGAATTTTGATAATTTAAAATTCTTCATTTAAAACAAATAATCATTATACTGTTGCATATTCTTTCTTACATGTCCAACATTTAAATATAATGTGGATTTTCAGAACCGTGATAAACTTGGGCTCCCTTCACTCCTAGCAAAAGTTTAAAGAAAATTGATTAAGTTCCCCACAATGGATAGGCAAAGTGTACAAGGACACCAGTGTCCGTGATGATCCATACAACATCATTAAGTTGTCCATCATAAAGTCCAGTAGCTGTGCACCGTGAACAAAGTCGGTGTCCGACCCTGATCCCCCAAACATTACAAAGATATGTACGGTGACCCAGTAAACCTTCACTTGTTCATCTGATATAGAAGGACAATTGAAATGTTTACTGGCCGCAGAATGAGAATATAGCACTTTTACTTTTTTCTTTTAATACACATTCAGATTAATGCTCCGAACAGAAGCCTCCATGCTTCCCTGTTCCTCATGAAGACTGATCCAGTCTATGACTACCGCTCACTGCTGTTACAGTTTCATGCCTATGTCTAAACCCGTGTGAGAAGGTAAAGGGATGCTGTGCTTATTAAGAAAAAAAAAAATAAAAAAAAAGAGAAAATATAAAAAATATTTAATTTGTTTTCTTGAATTAAGTCTGGGAGATAGAGTTTCTAAAGAGAGTATAGTATTTTGCAAAAATCTTAATGTCACAGAATATTAAGCAGATGGGTCTGTAACTCTCACATTGCTCCATGTCCTTGCCCTCTTTATATAATAACAATATTATCAGCCCATGTTAGTGGGTATAGTTAAAGGATCACTATAGGGTCAGGAACACAAACCTGTATCCCTGACCCTATAGTGTTAAAACCACCATCTAGCACCCCTGGGTCCCTCATGCCTCCATGAATATAGTAAAAATCTTACTGAATTCAAGCCTGAAGCTGCTGGCTCTGCCCTGTCTGCCTCAGAAAAACAAGCAGTCTGCTGACATCATCAGAAGTGGTAGCCTGATCCAATCACAGTGCTTCTCCATAGGATTGGCTGAGTGACAAAGAGGCAGATCAGGGGTAGAGCCAGAATGATTCAAACAGAGCCCTGACCAATCAGCATCTCCTCATAGATATTAAATCAATGAATCTCTATAAGGAAAGTTCAGTGTCTGCATGCAGAGGGTGGAGACACTGAATGTTTGGATGCATTTTAGGCAGCCATGACCCAGGAAGGCTCTCCAACAGCCATCTGAGGAGTGGCCAGTGAAGTTATCACTAGGCTGTAATGTAAACACTGCTTTTTCTCTAAAAATACAGTGTTTACAGCAAAAAACCTGAAGGTAATGATTCTACTCACCAGAACAAATTCTATAAGCTGTAGTTGTTCTGGTAACTATAGAGTCCTTTTAAATGATTGCAAAAATTATTGACATGGAATGTCTGCAAATGTTATTTAGCAACATACAGGTAGACAATCTGGGCTATGTCAGGAAGTACAGCCTTTGTGACATATCAAATATGTTTGTATAACAGTATTAGCAACATGCGGAAAAAACAAACACTCTAAGGCATAATGCATTGACAAAGTCAACCTGTGTGGCGTATGCTTGAAGGTGCCCAAGGTTCCACTAGGATATCGGCCTAATGTACTATTTTTGAGAATTCTAATTCTTACTGAATGTTTGAAAGTTACCTAGAAAGTGCCAGAACAAATCCAGAGTTTGATATACATGAAAGTATGGGATATCGGATATATATAGGCAGCATGTGATTAGGAAGAGAATAACTCTTTTGACTCAGAGACGTAGGGAGAAAAGCTGAGAGAAGAGAAATATAAAAGACAGAGCACAGACAGAGTTTGAGCTGACATCATTAATGATCAATATGTTATTTGACTTTAGGGAGAGCTAAGCAGGTGTTCGAGACAGAAAGGAAGGGCTTATAGCAAAAGACAGCACAAGGGGAGCCTTCCCCACCGCAGTTCAGTGTGCACGCACATTGAGTCCAGGTGGTAGTTAAAATGCCTGTTCCCATAACGGTCAGCATTAGCAACTATGGTATTTTTTTACAGGACATAATTGCTGTAATCAGATCAAAGTTATAATCTTGTTCAAAATGTCCACTTTCTAAGACAGGAAAAGACAGAAGGAATTGATCTACCCTGTAGCAACGCCCTTTTCTCGGTTATGATCCACTGCATCTAGAAGTGCTTTGTTCCAGATTGCTAGTATGGTATGTCTTGAGATGATTAATTAATGATCAGAGAAGATGACATTCATGTGCTATTTCTATATCTTAAAACCGTTAATGTGCAGTTTTAAAATGCAAGAAATAGCTGAACACACAGACACACTGTGGTTGAGAAGGAATTTGCATGAACTCATAACAGTTTTTCACAAAGCAGGGGACCATTATTTGCATTCTGCAAACAAAGTGAATCTGCTATTTCTCAGCAAGAGGATGCCTAGCTAAAAATGTATAAAGTTTACTCATAACATTAAGGAACAGTCTAAGTACCCAAATCACTTCACATTAAAAGAAACAGTCCCACAGCCATAACAACGTACACCTATTTAAACTGAATGGCTCACAACTGATGCAAAAGCTGCAGGTTTATGTCAATTGATTCAAAATAATTGCAAGAAGAGCAGGAACACAGCAGCCACGCTGGAACCCAGAAAAAAGGATCCACTAGAGCTCTCCCAACGGAAGGGAGGCTGGGTGGAAATAAATTAAAAATAATAATCTGTGTGTGTGTTTGTGTTTGTCTGTTTCAACAAGCAGCTCCTCTCTGATAACATGCCATTTTTTTCCACGCAGTGCCAGTCTCGCCGCGGCTGGCCCCACCTCCATGTCTGAGAAAATCACGCTTTATAATATTAGCCAATGCTTTCCCATAGGAAAGCAAAATGCCATACTGTGCCAATCAATGCATCTCTCTGGGGAACATTCAGGGCCTCCATGCAGAGCATTCTGGAACCAAGTGCCTCCATATTGGTCCCCTGTCAATCATTGTTATAAGCTCTGCCCTTTTCGGTCATTGGACATAGTATGTAGAAGAGGAGAAATACAACCAATGCATCTGCAATACCATGTGTACCTTGCCTGTGCCTGGATTGTTACATCGATTGCTCTTTAATAAACAATAAAAAGAACCATCACATGGAAAAACATTAAACACAAGTTATAGTGGATTTAAAAGGTTTTATTTAATGGTGTAATATGTAGAGAAGAGATGGTTCTCGCTCATGTTTATTTTATTTTAAATAATAAATTAAACTGTTGATCTGGAAGCATGACGTGCTGTTATTGCAGCAATAAAAATAAAAGTGGCATTCGGGGTACCATAACTAATACAGCTTGTTATGGTGCCAAGTTCCCTGGAGCAGTCCTATGGTAAACAGTCAAACCGTTTCTACATGGTTCTGTTGGCTCTGGTCTGCACGGATATGCTAAAGCGGAGGTTTGCTTTCCTATGGGGAGGTCTCATGCGCGCACAGTATGCGCATTAGCACCCTCTCGCCGCAGGAGGTCTGAAGGGGCGGAGTGTCGACCCAGCGCAGAGGGACATCGGCGCTCAGATCAGGTAAGTAAGATACAGAGTTTTTAACCTTTTTATTCACCAGGGGGTGCTATAGTGCCAAGAATACAGCTAGCCTTGTATTCCTGGCACTCTAGTATCATTTTAAATTAACCAAGGTTCTCTAGCAAAGATACACAGCGCTGTATTACATTCATTTTTAAAATGTTACAGATTTTCCAAGGATATCACAATTCAATTCAGTCCAGGCACAGCTAGGGCACACAATGCAAAGGTAGTATAACCATAGTTTTATGAAAGGGATTCTTTAGTGCCAAGAAAACAAACCCGTTTTCCTGGCAGTATAGGAAACTGGAAACTCTTGGAGTGGCCCCCTCCCTCCCCCATCCCACGTCACTGAAAGGGTTAAAACTCCTTCAAACACTTACCTGAATCCAGTGCCAATGTACCTCGGTGATGGGTGAAGCTCCGCCCACGCTCCTCCCCAGCCTACGCTTGCCGGCTGAGGAGACCTAATGCGCATGCGTGGCAATGGCCGCGCGCATTAGACCTCCCCATAGGAAAGCATCATTCAATGCTTTGCTATGGGGATTCCGGCGATGCTGGAGGTCCTAATGCAGAGCGTGAGGACGTCCAGCGTCCATATCCCTTATGCTTGACACACTAGCAATGGCTGAAGGAATACTCTAACGATCCACCATAGACTTCAGTGTTGTACTCTTGCGCAATCCCCAAGAGTACAACACTTAACACAGGCTCTTGAAAGGGATCGGCCAGATTAAGATAGTGGTGACATGAAACCTCAATGTTTTACAGCACAGCATCTCTGAAAGGCAGTGTTTACATTGAAAAGCCTGTAGGGAAAGGTTATACATGCCAGATCCACTACATTAAGCTGTAGTCGTTCTGGTGACCATAGTATCCCTTTAAGAATTGTATTTTGTCGTTTAAAATAAAGCTTTGTTAGTTTTCAAAAAAACATGGCTGCTAACTTTTTAGTTAGTTAGCTGGTTCCTAGATTCCAAGCAAATTTGTCAAGTCCTGTTTTACAGTACCAGTGAAAAAAGTCAGTAACTCTGCACTAGAACCACTAAATTATGATATTGTGGTTTTGGTGCTTAGAGAATGTTCATTTAAAGCACAAATGTCACATGTGATATTTATGCACAATATGACACCTACCTAAAAGTTATGCATTAGATTCTGCAATTTAAAAAAAAAAATATATATATAAAAATGTGCATAATATCCCTTCTCCCCTAGCAAACAATGCACAGCGGAGGTAACCAGGTTTTATATTGTGAAAATCCATATGGGCAATTTAATGTGCTCATGCCACCTATGGATATTTGGGCATCATAGTTGAAACATAAGTGATCAGGGAGTGATTTCTCTTTTAAATTACAGATTTGCAAGCAATTTCACCAAGACAATTAAATTACATTGAAGTGGCTGTAACCACAATATTATTTCTGAGCATTTCGTAATGATAAATCATTAAAAACTCAAAAGATTTATAAGACAAAATAGTGACTACCTTGTCTAACGGACAAGCTTGAGGTTGACAAAAAGCAGATCTCCCACAGTCAGGTTTTGTCTGTTTCCGCAGCCGTTGCTAGCAATGGGGATTGGTTCGCTTCCCACCTTTAATGTCCCTTTGGATGTATTATTCCAGAATCTGAATGATGAGGCACATTATTTGTGAGTGGCAGTGTCATTTAAGGAAAAAAATAAATGAATATTTAAAACACACACAAAAAAAACAAACAAAAAAAAAAAAAAAAACATACTTCTGGAACACTCAACCAACTTAATCTCACAAGATACACGTCTGCTCTGCCATCTACTGTCACCATTTCCAATGAAAACACCAGCCATTTTAGCTGGCTAGTCAACCTACCTAGGTCCCATTACAACCAACCTTCTCCAGCAGAGGAAGCCAGAGGACTATAGAGCAAAATGCTAGAATATCATCCCATAAATATACATATTGCAAAATTTTACCTAGACAATCCCTTTCAGGTCCTGTTGCTTTACAAATTTGTCATCACAATATTGTGCCTGTAGACCCTATACCAAAATTGAATTAAAAAAAATTAAAAATTTTTATAGGTTTGGCTGCTCTTTCCAGTCTCACGAAAGTAATTGAAATTCCAATTTGGAAGAGGATGCTTAAAGAGCAGATTGTTATGGACACACAAACTAACACCGGTCCTTAAAGGGTTATATAGACCAGGTTCAAATCCCAGTCAGACCTCCTCACCAGTCACGTAAAAAGACATATACACACCGACCTCATATCCTCAGATTGTAATTCCGTTTGAACAGGGCCTTCTTTATATCCCATTTCTATAATCATAAAGAGCTGCAATATATGTTGACTATGTAAATGCTAATATGCTCAGGTGACAGGTCTGCTGAAAGATCTGTCAGAAGAAATAAACTTTTGGGGACGGGGCCTGACCGCTAAACTGAGCGGCCGCAGGGAAGAGCTGCTACTGCTCTAAACAGACAAAAGCTGCACTATAACTGCCACGAACGGCGCTGAACCAACCCCAAAGTGTCACTAAGGGAGAGGGAAGACTGAGGGGCACATGAAGACACTAAACAAGCAGCCCAACGGGCAAAACTCAAGGACGAGACACCTGCGGCCTACAAGCATGGGCGGCGCAGGGGAGACGGCCGCTCCCTGCAGCACGCTACGGTTGAAAACGGGTCTTTGAGCCTCCGTTCAGTTTATAAGTAATGTCCTGTTATATGCTTCTCTTGATAAAAACGTTACCCAACCTTGTGACCTTTTCCATTACAAAAAAAAAAGTGCAGCATATCTTGTCTTTTGCGAGTATAACTCTTATGTCATTCACCAATTTTGCCTTGTGTAATCAGCTCTGCACTATAAAAAATAAAATAAACTTGTATTATAGTTAAGCATATGTTGACATAGGTTATGGTCTGTTAAACGCCCAGCATTATATATCTATTCTTTCTACAGCGATCTAACACTTTGTCTATACGTGTTTTCAGAATGTTTGTAAACATTGTAAACCAAGATACTTGCGGGTGGCAGAACGCGAGAACGCGAACGACTTCCATTGTCTGATTTTTGTCATTTTCTGACTTCATGATTATCTCTGTTATATCCAAAGCATGCGTAGCACATTAATTTATTACGATATTATTTAATGCTTTCGCAAACCTAAAAATGTATTTCTTTTTAAGAATCACCTGTAATTTTTTAACTTAAAAATACAAAAAAAATAGGTAAAAAAAAAATACTTTTTTTGCTTTTTCGACATTCATGCTCTTTTTCTCTGTTATAAATCAGATAATGAGCGGTTATAAATCTACATGGGGAAACAGTGAGGAAAAAAATACATTCGGGTGTGCCTGGGTATGGGTGGCCTGATTTTGTGTTGTACTGTAAATACTAATTATATTCAATGTCCTATTAATATGTAGACTATATATGATGTACAGAACGTGTGCCGTGTTTCCTCTGAGCAGTAACTGTGACAATAAACAGTACCTGTCAGAGAGAATAGCCAGGCTTGGAGTCCAGGTGTGGGGGCTAGTGTCTGCCCAGAGATCCTATACCTGCCCATTGCTGATCTCCCTGCTGCTGCAATGCAAATTCTCAGGAGGCTGGCAGTACCCAACGCTGGCTGCCATTCTTCGGCAGACAGCAGCAGGGATCTAGAGGAGCAGTCTTCTAACACAGAATCGCTTACCATCTTGTGCCCAGTGACGTGGAAGGAACTTGCAAGGTTTAAGCAAGAATTTCCAGAGTATCGGCAATTAAACCAGGATCAGATATCGTATTAGCATTACCAGGAACGTGACAGTAACAGGAACATAGGTGGCCTTGACTGCAGTCAGACTGTTATTAGGTTAGTGTGAGTGCAGTCAGAGTCAGTCCGTTAAAAGGTTAGTGTGAATGCAGTCAGTCCGTTAAAAGGTTAGTGTGAGTGCAGTCAGTCCGTTATTAGGTTAGTGTGAGTGCAGTCAGTCCGTTATTAGGTTAGTGTGAGTGCAGTCAGTCCGTTATTAGGTTAGTGTGAGTGCAGAGTCAGAGTCAGTCCGTTATTAGGTTAGTGTGAGTGCAGAGTCAGAGTCAGTCCGTTATTAGGTTAGTGTGAGTGCAGAGTCAGAGTCAGTCCGTTATTAGGTTAGTGTGAGTGCAGAGTCAGAGTCAGTCCGTTATTAGGTTAGTGTGAGCAGTCAGTCGTTATTAGGTTAGTGTGAGTGCAGAGTCAGAGTCAGTCCGTTATTAGGTTAGTGTGAGTGCAGAGTCAGAGTCAGTCCGTTATTAGGTTAGTGTGAGTGCAGAGTCAGAGTCAGTCCGTTATTAGGTTAGTGTGAATGCAGAGTCAGTCCGTTATTAGGTTAGTGTGAGTGCAGAGTCAGAGTCAGTCCGTTATTAGGTTAGTGTGAGTGCAGAGTCAGAGTCAGTCCGTTATTAGGTTAGTGTGAGTGCAGAGTCAGAGTCAGTCCGTTATTAGGTTAGTGTGAGTGCAGAGTCAGAGTCAGTCCGCTATTAGGTTAGTGTGAGTGCAGTATGCATTGATCACACAACGCTTCAGCTTTTGCCACCCGGAAGAACGTCTGTTATTGTTGTGACACAGGGCAGACGCAGTACCGGAGTGGTGGGCAAATACTGTATATCTTCTGGCACCTACCCTTGTTTTTGTGCTCTGCAGGATGATTTTGGTACCACATATTATTTATAAAGTGCCAACAAATCCCACTGCGCTGTACACATATGTTCTGAACTACACTTCCCATCATATTCTGTCAAAACCAACATGGAACGGTGATAATAGCCTCTTTATAAAACCACCACTACGGCGTTAAAGCCCACAATTCACAGGGAGGCATAATATGCCCTGCAGCGTAAAAGGGTTAAATTCTAGTGGTTCTGGTACTTAGGGTGCCGGTACGAGCAATCATTGGTTTGATAAGCATAAACAGTGATTAAGAAACCTGTTCCTATTCTGTTATTGTGCATTAAAGCAATCAAAAACCTTGCAGGCAAATCTAAAAAAAAATGTAAATTTTTTTTTTTTTTTTTAAATTCATGGTAATATTATTATTAGTACATTGTTGTAGAAGATGCTGGACATGTAAAAAATGATGATAAAGCATCTTCCTATTCTCATTAAAGGAAAACAATCCAGTAATATTCTCATGCCCTGGTTATATTATTATTAACCTATCATGCAATGTACAGTGAGTGTCCATTATTGATGGTATATTATATTATTATTATTATTATTATTACAGACTGGCTGATAGAGGGAATGTCATTATATAATAATAATAAAGTGGGTGTCAGTCAGTGAGCCCCTAGCAGGGTGCCATACACAGCCCAGCCCCTCCATTATCCCTGGGCTCTGTCCTGGCAGGGTGCACACACTGTGGGCAGGCCCGGTATCGCCCCCCTCCCGGTTACCTGAGTTCGGGATGCGCTCGGGGACCGTCCCGGGTACCGGTACCGGCTGCTGTCAGGCCTGGCCGGGGCTGTGAGAGAGCGGCTCCGGGCAGCGCGATGTACAGAGATATCGCAGCGCTGGGTGACCGGTGTGCAGGCTGAGTGACGGCGATGTCAGGCCTGGGCTGTCCGAACCGCAACGGCCCCAGATGTCAGAATAAAGGAAAAGGAGGAGCCGCCATGACACTCCCAGGAAAGGGAGGAGGGTGTCACATACACAGCCAGGGGGGAGAGACCTCCTGTATTATACACAGCCAGGGGGGAGACCTGTATTATACACAGCCAGGGGGGGGACCTGTATTATACACAGCCAGGGGGGGGACCTCCTGTATTATACACAGCCGGGGGGAGACCTGTATTATACACAGCCAGGGGGGGGACCTCCTGTATTATACACAGCCGGGGGGACCTCCTGTATTATACACAGCATGGGGGGGACCTCCTGTATTATACACAGCATGGGGGGGACCTCCTGTATTATACACAGCCAGGGGGACCTCCTGTATTATACACAGCATGGGAGACTTCCTGTATTATACACAACATGGGGGGGGACTGATATTATACACAGCCAGGGTGGGGAGACCTGTATTATACACAGCCAGGGGGGAGACAGATATTATACACAGCCAGGGGGGAGACAGATATTATACACAGCATGGGGGGGGACAGATATTATACACAGCATGGGGGAGACAGATATACACAGCCAGGGGGGAGACCTCCTGTATTATACACAGCATGGGGGGGGGGGAGACAGATAGTATATACAGCCTGTATTATACACAGCATGGGGGGAGACAGTATATACACAGCATGGGGGAGACCTCCTGTATTATACACAGCATGGGGGGAGACAGTATATACACAGCATGGGGGAGACCTCCTGTATTATACACAGCCAGGGGAGACCTGTATTATACACAGCATGGGGGAGACCTGTATTATACACAGCATGGGGGAGACCTGTATTATACACAGCATGGGGGAGACCTGTATTATACACAGCATGGGGGGGAGACCTGTATTATACACAGCATGGGGGGGACCTCCTGTATTATACACAGCATGGGGGGAGACCTGTATTATACACAGCTTGGGGGGGACCTCCTGTATTATACACAGCATGGGGGGGACCTCCTGTATTATACACAGCATGGGGGGGAGACCTGTATTATACACAGCCGTTGGGGAGACCTGTATTATACACAGCATGGGGGGAGACAGATATTATACACAGCCAGGGGGGAGACAGTATATACAGCCTGTATTATACACAGCATGGGGGAGACAGATATTATACACAGTATGGGGGGGAGACCTGTATTATACACAGCCAGGGGGGACAGATAGTATACACAGCATGGGAGACCTCCTGTATTATACACAGCCAGGAGACTGTATTATACACAGCCAGGGGGACAGATAGTATACACAGCATGTGGAGACCTCCTGCTGTATTATACACAACCAAGGGGGGACAGATAGTATACACAGCATAGGAGACCTCCCTGTATTATACACAGCCAGGGGGACAGATAGTATACACAGCATAGGAGACCTCCCCTGCTTATTGCCACACACAGCCAGGGGGACTGTAGTATACACAGCCAGGGGGGATGAGATAGTATACACAGCATGGAACCTCCTGTATTATACACACAACCAGGGGGACAGATAGTATACACAGCATGGAGACCTCCTGTATTATACACAGCCGGGGGGGGGACAGATAGTATACACAGCATGGGAGACCTCCTGTATTATACACAGCCGGGGGGGGGGACAGATAGTATACACAGCATGGGAGACCTCCTGTATTATACACAGCCAGGGGGGGACAGATAGTATACACAGCCAGGGGGGGACAGATATTATACACAGCATGGGGGACAAATATTATACACAACCAGGGGGGGCAGATATTATACACAGCATGGGGGACAAATATTATACACAACCAGGGGGGGCAGATATTATACACAGCATGAGGGACAGATATTATACACAGCCAGGGGAGACAGATATTATACACAGGATGGGGGACAAATATCATACACAGCATGGGAGACAAATATACACAACCAGGGGGACCTCCTGTATTATTCTACACAGCCAGGGAGACAAATATTATACACAGCCAGAGATACAAATATTATACATAACCTGGGGAGACACATATTATACTCAACCTGGGGGACCTCCTGTATTATACTACACAGCCAGGGAGACATATCATACACAACCTGGGAGACCTGTATTATACACAACCAGGGGATCTGTATTATACATAGCCAGGGAGACAAATATCATACACAACCAGGGGGACCTGTATTATACACAACATGGGAGACAAATATCATACACAACCAGGGGGACAAAAATCATTCACAACCAGGGGGACAAATATCATACACAACCAGGGGGACCTGTATTATACACAGCTAGGCCCTTACGCTTTGCTGAAGACTTACGTCTATCTTCTGTCCACACTCCCACCTCTGATGCTCGCCTTCAAGACTTCTCCAGGGCTGCACGTTCCTGTGGAACTCACTTCCCTCCTCCGTTAGATGCTCACCCAGTCTCTACTCCTTCAAATAATCATTAAAAACCCACTTCTTCATTAAAGCGTATCAATAAAACTGTTAATAGCTCCAGACTGATTCCTCTCTTGCAACTGTCACTAGTCTAATACTATCCTTACCTTTTGTGTCACTTTACCCCACTCCCTCTAGCATGTAAGCTCACTGAGCAGGGACCTCAACCCCTCTGTTCCTGTGTGTCCAACTTGTCTGGTTACAACTACATGTCTGCTCGTCCACCCACTGTAAAGCGCTGCTGAATTTGTTGGCGCTATATAAATAATAATAACATAATAATAACCAGTGGACATGTACTATACACAACCAAGTGGACCTGTATTATACACAGCATGGGAGACAAATATTAAACACAACCAGGGGCACCTGTATTATACACAGCATGGGAGACAAATATTATACACAACCAGGGGCACCTGTATTATACACAGCATGAGAGACAAATATTATACACAACCAGGGCCGCCATCAGGGGATGACAGCCATGATGGTTGTCACGGGCCCGGCGGTCCTGGGGAGCCAGGACTGCCAGCAGTCCAGGCCCCTCATTTCCTCTCTGCACACATAAATAGTGAATATTGCTATCTATATGTGCAGCTGCAGCCCCCGGCTCCCTGTTACTGCAGAGGGGGCCCAGCACACTGCGTCTACTCTTCTCCTCTCTCCCAATAACGCTTTCGAGACCCATGGCTTCTGAGCGTTATTGGGAGAGAGGAGAAGAAAAGAGTAGACGCAGTGTGCTGGGCCCCCTCTGCAGTAACAGGAAGCCGGGGGACCCCCATGCCACCGGACCACCAGGGATGGAATCTCTCCCCTCCCTGGACACAGGTAAGAAACAGGTAGGGGGGAGAAACATTTAATTAAATTTAATATAAAATGTATGTGAAATTAATGTAAAAAAAGCCCCCCCAGGCCCTAGTTTGCACATTTACACACACACACTGCATACACTAATACAACACACACTCTGCATACACTACCCTGACACACACACTGCATACACTAATACAACACACACTCTGCATACACTAATACAACACACACACACTACATACACTAATACAATACACACTATGCATACACTAATACAACACACACTGCATACACTAATACAACGCATACACTACACTGACACACACTGCATACACTAATACAACACACACACTACATACACTAATACAACACACACTCTGCATTCGCTACACTAACACACACTCTGCATTCACTACACATTAGCACACACTCTGCATTCACTACACTATCACACTGCATCCATTACACTGACACACACTCTGCATTCACTACACATTAACACATACTCTGCATTCACTACTCTAACACACACTCTGCATTCACTGCACTAACAAACACTACATTCATTACTCAGACACACACTCTGCATTCACTACACACTAACACACACTGTATTCATTACACACTAACACACACTCTGCATTCACTACACTATGCACACACTCTGCATTTACTATACTGACATATGCTATGCATTCACTACACTGACACACACTCTGCATTAACTACACTGACACACACTCTGCATTCACTACACTATGCACACACTCTGTATTTACTATACTGACACACACTCTGCATTCACTACACTAACACACACTCTGAATTAACTACACTGACACACACTATGCATTCACTACACTAACATACACTCTGCATTAACTATACACACAGCATCCACTACACAAACATCCTGTATTCACAGTACACACACTACATCCACCACACATTGAAACACTCTGCATTCACTATACAGAGACACTGCGTCTAACACACACTGCATCCACTAAACACATTGCATCTAGTACACACAAACACTACATCCACTACAAAAACACACACACTACATCCACTACTCAAAAACACTCTGCGTTCACTATACACACTGCATCCGCTACACAAACACACACTCTGCATTCACTGCACAAACAGTATCTAATAAACACAAACACTACATCCATTACACACATTCTAATTCACTTCAGTTATACACACCACATTCAGTCCTGCATTATTGTCAGCGGACTAGGTAGGGCGTGGGCGGGCCCGGGGGGAGACAAATATTATATACAACCAGGGGGACCTGTATTATACACAGCATGGTAGACACATATTATACACAACCAGGGAGACCTGTATTATACACAACCAGGGGGACCTATATTATACACAGCATGGGAGACAAATAGTATACACAACCAGGAGGACCTATATTATACACAACCAAGGGGACCTGTACTATACACAGCATGGGAGACAATATGATACACAACCAGGGAGACCTGTATTATACACAACCAGGGGGACCTATATTATACACAACCATGGGAGACAAAGAGTATACACAACCAGGTGGACCTATATTATACACAACCAATGGGACTGTCATGCCAAAAGATGTGTGTTGAGATATGTTAAGAGTTGTTTTTTGTAAACCTTGGGATGACGTTTATTGTGGTCTTTGATCTCGCACCAGGCTTAGACCATAAAACATCTAGATAGCCATCACCAGAGCTGGACACAAGGAACTGCATAGAGTGGGCAATAAACTGCCAGACC